CCCCCCCCGCCCACTGTCACCCCCCAGGCTCCAAAGCTGGAGAGAACCCAGGCGTCTGGAGCCCCAGCCCACAACCAGTGACTTCCCTCCTCCTGGTCACGCCTGGCTGAGGCTACATGTGCATGTCACTGTGGCTTTAAATGTCACTTGTTGCTGTGGGAACATAGGCGGCTTTTCCCTCCCTCCCCCAAGCCAGTCCCTCCCACTATAAGCTTTGACAGCCGCTGGTTTCCCTTGCTCATTTCTGCACGGGCTGAAGCCGGGTGCCGGTCATGCGCTCCCAGAAAGGTAAGGGGCATACATCGGTCCTTTAAGGGGGTCTGGGGTGAGCTGGTCCTTTAAAGCACAGCTGGGGGTGTGCTGGCCCTTTAAGGGGTCGATGGGGGCACACTGGCTCCTTCAGGAACAGAGGTGTGCTGTCCCTTAAAAGATTGGGGGGGGGGTTTCACTGGCCCTTTAAGAGGTAGATGGGGGCACACTGGCCCTTTAAAAGATTGAGGGACCACTGGCCCTTTAGAGCATAGATGGGGTGCACTGGCTCTTTAAAAGATTGGGGGGGTGCACTGGCCCTTTAAGGGGTAGATGGAGGTGCACTGGCCCTTTAAAGCATAGATGGGGGTACACTGGTCCTTTAAGGGGTAAATGGGGTGCATTGGCTATTTAAGGACTATGGGGATACAGTGGCCCTTTAAGGGGTACATGGTATATGTTGGCCCTTTAAGGGGGTAAGTGAGGTGCCCTGGGCCTTTAAGGTGGGGGCATTCATCCTACCCCATTCATTGGATGAGGCACAAAGGAGGCACTGTGCCTTTAAGAGCTTGGAGGGCCTGGGGGAGTCCATATGGCCTGACAAGTATAGCCTGGGCCCCAGACTGGTCTGTACTGGGAGAGTCTGGAAAAGAACCCAGGCATCTGAGCTCCTAGCCCCACTGTTTCCCATCCCCCCCCCACTGCAGAGGACCCAGGTATCCAGGCTATACTGGGAGGGACTGGGACTATAGCCTATATGGACTGGCTGCTACTGGGACAGGCTGGGGTGTACTGGGAGCCCGGACACCTGGGTTCTGGGAAGCCCTCCTTCCCCCTCTCAGGCCACAGGGCTGGCCCAGGTGGGGGATCCCCCGCAGGGGGAGTAGCGGGATCCCTCCCCAACCAGCCCTGCCCCAGGGATGTCTCTTAGGGGTTTCCCGTGACATCATCGCCACCACGGGGATTCCGCGACACGCCCCAGTGCCCAGCACGGGGACCTGCGGGGGTGGGGGTCAGCCCAGCGTGTCCCCCCTGCCCCCACAGCTGGGGATGACCCTGCCCTGGGAGATCCTGGGGCCTAGGCATCTGGGCTCCCCCCCACCCTGAGAACCCAGGTGGCTGGGCTCCCAGCGCCCCACTGCGCCCCAGGGCTGCAGATAACCCCGGTGCCCCGGTGACCTGTCTACGCCCCCCCCCAGCCACTCAGGGAGGGGGCAGGTTGGAAGAATGGGGTGGGGGGTGCTGGGAGCCCGGACGCCTGGGTCCCCTGGCAGGTGCGTCACTTCCCCGGGGGCGAGGGCCCTGGTTTCCAGTGGGGCAGGAAGGCGGGGGGAGGGGGCTGCGTGTCTCACCCGGCCCATGA